AGGGAGACACAGAATCCGAAGCAGGCTCCAGGCTGCCAGCACAGAGCCCGACGTGGGGCTCGAACTCACGAACTGTGAGATCATGACCTGAGCCGAAGTCGGAAGCTCAACCGACTGAGCCGCCCAGGCGCCCTGACAGCCAGCTCCTTAAGGCATTACTCTCTGCTTTCCAAACCTGGCTGCACTGGGTCCCCTGGAGGGCTGAAACCTGGGGTAGCTGGGTGGCTCAGTCGATTGAGCGTCTGACTCTTGATTTTGGCCCAGGTCACGGATCTCACAGTTCGTTGAGTTCAAGACCCAGGTTGGGCTCTGTGCGGACAGCGTGGAGCCTGCTTGGGATTCACCCCTCCCCTGCTTTCTCTTTCTCGCTCTCCAAAATAAATAAACATTTTTAAAAAGTTTTAAAAAATCCTGATACTTAAGGCACACCTCAGATTGATGATATCAGAATCTCCGGGAGTAGCACCCAGGGGTCAGCAGTTCTAAAACTTGCTAAGGTGATCGCAATGTGCAGCCGACGTGGAGAACCGCGGGTCTACTGGCAGTGACAGGGGCTCCACCTGAGGGCCCTGCTCCCAAACACAGAAGCCAAGAAGCCCGACTTGTCTTTTGTCACCTGCTGTGGGAACTCCGAGCAGTCACGCGATCTCTCCCAGCTCCTGTCCTCATCTGGAAAGTGGAGAAGACCACACAGGCCCTACCCATTTCACAGAGTTGTTGGAAGTGACAAAACCTGTGAGCTCAATGAGGGGACTACATCTGTCTTACGTCTTTGGCACCTAGCACTGTTGTAACTGTTGAATGAATGCTTATGGAATGAATGAATGAATGAATGAATGAATGAGTTCACTAGGCACCTACTAGTTCACAACAAGTTGAAGAGGTAAGCATCATTATGCCCATGTTGTACAGGTGGGCCCGAGGGCCCAGAGAAGGCCCATAAGGTCCCACGTGGCCCACGGCAGAGAGCTCGTTTGCTGTCTGACTCTTAAGACTGAGCTATTGGGGGGCGCCTGGGTGGCGCAGTCGGTTAAGCGTCCGACTTCAGCCAGGTCACGATCTCGCGGTCCGTGAGTTCGAGCCCCGCGTCGGGCTCTGGGCTGATGGCTCGGAGCCTGGAGCCTGTTTCCGATTCTGTGTCTCCCTCTCTCTCTGACCCTCCCCCGTTCATGCTCTGTCTCTCTCTGTCCCAAAAATAAATAAACGTTGAAAAAAAAAAAAGACTGAGCTATTGGCAATGCTCGACTGGATGTTTCTATCCATGTAGTGCGTTCTTCCAGCATCCCCCAAAGGCCTAGCTCCCCAGAACTGAACAAGAGCCGAAGATTATCCCCTCACCCCTTTCATTAGAAAAAGAAGCCGTCGTGCTCTCCCGGTTCTAAGGGAGAGACACGCAGCCTCTTTCTGGTCCGACACCCCCACGGATCTCAGTGGGGTAGTAGCCTCTGAAACCCATCCCTGCAAAACCAAATTCCCTGGAATGAACGTTGCTATTGCTCGTGGGAGAGCCGGAGGAAGGGAAGGGGGGTGAGGATTTGCTTGTTTCAGGGAAGGGCAGTGACAGCAGTGCCGGCGTGTGTGACTGTCACATCAAACACGGGGGTCAGCCAGCTCGCCCACACGGGTGTGCACTGCCTGGCAAAATCAGAGCCCTCTCTTCCTGGCAGGGGTACTCACAAAGGAAACTCCACTTTGCCAAAGCCGGAGGAGAAGAAGCAGAGAAACCTTCACTCTCCCTCTCAGGGTCCTGGTAAAGGATGAAGAACCGAGCAAGCGCCACAGAGGTCCCCGTGTCCACTCCCCTCTGGCTTGTCAAGAGCCGAGTGAAGGTAAAACACAGCCAGCAGCCCCGATGCCGCATGTGGTCAATGATGGCTCAGCTCATACGCTTAGAGGCGAGCTGGAAGGTGGCCCTCATCTCTGCCGGTGGCGACGTGGGTACCTGGTGAGCGCCAAGATGAGGCAAGAGGGAAGCCATGTTTGGGTGGTCCTGTCTGGGAAAGAGCCCTCGGCCAACAGCAGAATCTCTTGCCCCATTCCTGGGTATTGGGAAGACCACCACAGCGGGTCTCCAAGAGGCCAGTGGCTTTTGCCCAGGTCACTTAAAACCGATTAGACTCTCAGCAGAGCAGAATTCGAAAGGGCAGCAGCAAGAGCCCCCAGAGTCCACCAATCAGTAAGGATCAGGTGAGACCCCAGGGTGAGCCCAGCACTGAGCTGGGCCCTTGGCCTAAACTACCGAGGAAATTAAGATGGAGGCCAGGACAGCGTGGTTCTTGCCTTCTGCAAGCTCACAGGCAGAACAAGGCCAGCCCCAAGATTTCCAGACCAAGGGACACCACCAAAACTCCTCGCCAAAAAGTGCGAGAGCAGGTCAGACAAGAGTCCTAGGCCTGGAAGGCTTCTGGGAAGACGTACAGTAGGGTAAGGCCTTAGGTTATTTTTTGTTTGGTTTTGAGTGTTTTCTGAACAGCTATTCATGACTTTCCTGTTGGCTGCAGGAACTCAACAGGCCAAAAAGCAGTGAATTTGAAGAAGTCCAGACCGAGAGAACAAAGGGCAAATCTGAGGAAATGACACCGAGCCTTGAACTCAGCTACAGTGGCTGTGGAAAAGCCAAGGGGCCATGCAAGGCAGTCAGCATCTCGAGTTGTGCTTTTCCTGACCTTCTGAACCCTTCCAGGCTGTGCCTGCCGCTGCTTCCGCTACAGAAAAGAAAAAGGCACTAAAACTCAAGCATGTCTTTGGTTTCACATCCTCAGCTATTCCCCAAAGCTGCCCGATTCCTGGAAAACAGCTTTAGTTTGTTTCCAAGCAAGCAAACATGTATGGGGCCAAAGGGTAAGAAGGTCGTGCCTGCTTCTGAGGAGACAGAGTTGACTTGACAGGGGTCCCAGCCTTTCCAGGAGCTCCATGTCTGGAGAGGGGGTGCCCAGGGAATATACCGGGGGAGAAGAGAAGAGACTTGGGAGAGTCCCCGAGGATCAAGACACAGACTCTAGGGTTATCTGCAGGAAGAATATAGAAGCGGGTCACTGAGGATGCAGAGGAGTTCACGGGGAAGAGGCAGAGGCATTTTAGGAAAAGGGAAAGAGGTGCTCAGAAGACCCAAGTGCTGGGGGCGCCTGGGTGGCTCAGTTGTTTAAGTGTCTGACTTCAGCTCAGGTCATGATCTCGCAGTTCGTGAGGTCGAGCCCCGGGACGGGCTCTGTGCTGCTGACATCTCAGAGCCTGGAGCCTGCTTTGGAGTCTGTGTCTTCCTCTCTCTCTGTCCCTCCCCCACTCATGCTCTTTCTCTCTCTCTCTCTCTCTCTCTCTCTCTCTCTCAAAAATAAAGATTAAAAAAGAAGAAGACCCAAGCGCTCAAAGCACATGGGGTAGTTGAGAAAGCACAAGTCTGTCTGTACACCAGGGCACACGGAGCAGGGGGCGATGGCGGGCTCCGAGGCCAGAACTGCCGAGTTCGATGACGCATACACACCGTACAGGCTTGATCTGCTTCCCTAAGGAGTCAGTGCCTTACCCCGCAGGGCCTCTGGAAAATGCAGCGGGAAGGCCATGCACATTGTTCTTCCAACAGGCCAGAGACAGAATAACCCCGCAGACAGCGGGGAGGACAGGGGGACCGCGGGGGGAGGCACCGTGGGCAGCACATTAGCACAGATGAGAACGACAAGGGTGTGACCGAATGACAGCATCCAGGGGCCACGCAGGACGCCGCACCCCACCACCTCCAATTCTCCCAGCTACCCCACGAGTGCACAGCATGGGCTCCTGCGGCCCGTATCTACAGTTAGAGGTGGCACGGGGGCTCAAATTCAAGTACGTCTTAAGCCCAAAGCGCATGCTGTCTGTCGTCCCTTGGCTGTAGCCATTCCTAAGTCAGGGAGGTTTATGTAGGTCATGACCTCTGCATCCTGTTCCATCGTACTGGGCAAAGGGGACGGGGGTAGGGGGGCAGGGGACTCTAGATAGTATGTGGAGGCAATGGGACCTGGTGATAATTCCATGAGATGAGGGACTTAAGAGGCCCTGAGTGACTGAGAGTCAGACACACAGAATGCCATCAGACACACAGACTTGAGGACACTGTAGTGAGACACGCCGTGTGGTCTCTGCCACAGGAGAACACACAGGCACGGCTGGTGGGTGGTGGGGCACCAAGAAAGCATTCTCCTCGAAAATGGCTACGCTAGGTGAAGGGCAAGCACCAGGGTTGAAGAAACGCAGGACCAGGAACCCGAGACACAAAGCCCGGGATGTCATTTCTGTCTCTCTCTCTCTGCATCGGCCTTCAAGGTCCATCCAGGTCCCTTCTCTACACAGCAGCCCGTGACCAAGAGCAATCAGCTTCTGCCTCCTTGGACTCCTCACCATCAAAGCCAGTTGTTCACGGTCGTCTCCTTGTATGCCCAGTCGGTATCCCAGGCGACGCACGAGCTCTTCCTGGTTGAGGGTCAGCCTTTGCAGGTTCGGGGCTCTGAAGAGGTGCTAAGCACAGCAGAGGCCAGGGATTCTCCTGTGATCATACCCTTTCAGGCCCAGCTCCTGGCTCTTAGAAATAACAATCAACAAAAGCAGGGCCCTAATTTGTGCCAACCCTGCTGACATTTTTCAGCCCTCAGAGCTGGGAGGAATGTGGCCATTTCATTGAGGCTCTGGAAGGCACCCATCCCATTTCCCTCCCTGTCCCCC